GGGGGGGGGGGGGGGGGGGGGGGGGGGAGCCTGGGCGGGTAGGGGGGGGGGCGAGTGAAACCAGGCGTGCGGCGAAGGGGGGGAAGCCTCTGTTGATCGAAGGCCGTTTGCTTTCCACGAACAGCTGCCCTGGGCAGTCTGAAGGCTGCGGCCAGTTGGGCTCCTTGCAGTGTCACGAAGGCTGGGCTGGTCGCTCCCGAAATAGCTGAAAGGCTAGCGAGGGAGCCGGCCCGGCGTCCGCTGGAACCCCCGGGTGCGGGTCTCTTGGGTGCGCGTTATGGCTGCAAGCAACATCTGCACCGGCGCCGCGTGGCTCTGTGTGAAGGGCACGGGATGGAATCAAGGACAAAGTGGGAACTTAACATTCACTTCTCATTTTCCTGAACTTAAGATCATGAGAACTGATGCCAAGTACCTTTCATGCAAGTCAGGTAGTTCTTAAAGTCTCTGTGACTTTGGTTGGGTTGGGTGCCCTGTTTGGAAACTGGTGAAGGAACAGATGCAGGGAAGGTTTTACAAGCCTCCTGGGCTTGCTGGCTCAGGGAAGCAGCAGCTGCCAGGCCCACTGATTTGGGGGCAGAGCGTGATGACGCTCCTGCCTCTCGAAGAATGCACCGCTCAAGGGCAGCGTCTCCCCCAACAGCAGCAGCAGACGCGCCGGGTGGGTCTGGAGCAAAGCCTTTACTCTTCCTGGGTCAGAAACCGAGCCAAGGTGGTGCCCATTCTACCCACACCCGTCCTGCTGGGTTGTCTCACAGGTCCCCCGAGCTCCCACCCTCTCCCACTGGGCTAGCCCAGCCCCTCTGCTCAGTTGCAAGAGAGAGCAAGCTTTGCCGAAGGGGCGATCCCTCTGCAGAAGACCCCTGTGGGGTCTTTCCCTGCCGTTTTTCAGGCAGTGGAAAACATTTTGTAAATTACACATTTGGCCTCAGATACTCGATCGTTCCGCCAGTGAATCTGCGTCTTCCATCCGAGTTTGGCCTTTCACCCCCTCACTTACGCTGCTTTAAAAACGCCGCTTCCAGGTTTAACTGGGAAGACAATGTCTGGCTGGAGGGCCGAGCTCCTGTGCAGGGCTGGAGAGTTCTCCTTCGTGCAATGGAAGGGGCCGCGTCATTTGTCAGAGCCCCCCTGTGAATTTATTGAAACCGAAGTTGCTCGCGTAGGATCGGCCTGAGAGCCTCTTGGCACAGCCTCCTCCTGCCTTTGAAGTCCGAGGTGGTGGGGAATCGCGTCACAGCAGCAGGGGGCCTTTCAGAGGAAATCAGACCTGCCCCCCGTTTGGGGGGTTGTGGGGGACAGAGCGCTTGGCTCTTCTCCTGGGTCAGCCGGGCGGCATCTGGAGATCATCCAGGCAGATGAAGGGGGGCAGGAAGGGGAGGGTTCAAGAGGCTCAAGGAAGAGGACCTAAGGGGTGCCTTTGGGGGGGTGAGCACGGCCCCCCAGGCTCTAAGGGGCAGCTGCTTGGATGCCTGGACCTGGCCTTTGGAGGGGACTTGAGCGCCAAGGGGGACTCTTGCCCTGCGTGGCAAGGTGGCACCGCCCCTGAAGATGCTCAGGCCCCTTCCCCGTTGGGAAACCAAGGTCCGCTCAGGCCTTCCCCAGCCAGGCCGGGTGTGTGTGTGTTCAGGCTGCTGTTCTCCAGGCCTCCCGACCGTTGGTCTGTCTTGCGGACGGCAGAGCTGACAACCCCCTTTTTCCCCTCAGGATGATTCCTCCATCCAGTAAGGGCTTCTTGGTGAAGGACCTGGCCGCCGGGCGGGACTACAGCCTCTGCGTCTTGGCCATCTACAACGACGGGGTGACGTCCCTGACGGTCACCCGGAGCCTCGGCTGCCTCCAGTTCAGCACCCTGCGGGACAGCCTGCAGTGCCATTCGCTCCACGCCCAGTTTCTGGGCGGCACCATGATCATCATCATCGGGGGCATCATCGTGGCCTCGGTGCTGGTCTTCATCATCATCCTCACGATCCCATACAAGGTC